GTGGGCTAGCATTACAAACCTCATGGAAACCTTGAGTCTTTGTGTCATTCTAGAATGTTTAAAGTGTTAATTACAGACAATAAACTCGAGGAGAGCGGGATAGAACAGAGGATACCCAAAAAACAGCAAAAACACAACTGCAGTTAGCAGCAGTCAATACAGAGTTAAGGAGCTTTAAGCAGAGACAGGCAATCTGTACTCTTCATATTGGGGACAAGTAGACATGATTACCCTGCAATTTAGCAGGACACTTCTTTTCCAGATGCTCCAGCATGGTAGAACCAAACTCTTCTCAGACCTCAGACCCTTTCCGCTGTTCTAACAGAGGCACTCCCCAGGCAACAGGCCAAGGAGGCACCTACATCCTGGTAACAGCCCAGGGTATAAGGATTCTCTGTCCTGGCAGGAGCCCAGGAGGCAAAACACCATTCTGGAAGGTCATACCAAATATTTATATCCAACCCCAGCATATACTACTGGAAATAATTTCACCTACTGATTGGCCAGGGAGACATTCATAACTCAGCAATATGGTTTCTTATTACACTATCTGCTGTGGAACACTCCCCTGCAACAGGAATAAGCAAACAATACCATGAGCTTAGGGAAAACCCAACAAAAGCTGCACTATAACAATTCAAACTCAGGTTAAGTAAAGTCTAGCAGCATCACTAGATTTAGGCTAGGGACACTACTGCTAATACCATGGTCCCTACACCAAGAATGATTGGAGATAAATCTTCCCAATCCAAATAGTCTATCGCGGAAACAGCAATCCTCACCCAGGACTGACTGTGGCGTTTGCATGGTTTTCTGCAACATTCAAAAACTACACCTATAACCTCCTGAGGTACTTTTTATATCAGAGAAATCCAAATAAATGAAACTCAGGAGGCCTTGCTTGCTTTTAACAGGTCATTTAAGAGAAGCTTAGGCTTTTTTTTCCTCTTTATTGCCACTTTACTGACTCTGGTTACTATAGGTTACTGCATTTGACACATAATTGTTTTCTCCTCGTTTCACTGAAACAAGCTCACAAGTGCACGTAATAACCGGACATTATATAACATTACTAGCAATTTTTCCCATCATAGTAGCGTTCTCCTTTATATAAATTCAAGTGGTTCCTCAAGGTAGAAGTGAAATATGGGAACTCTCTTTATCTTTGACAGCTGGTCTCTGACAGTATACATTCAGTGGCCACTTAATAAGGTACACCTATGTGCACATGGTCATCCAGCTACACAATGGCACTCAGATGAAGCTCAGCTGGTATTAAAGCTGAATTCTAGGCAGGTGAAAAGGCACATATTTATGCAGCTCTGTAATAATTAATACCTCATTAAATACAGTATATTTACATGCGAGTGGTGTAAGTATCTGAATGTGACTTGGAATCAGCACCTTGCAGTCTTCTGTATAGTTTGTACAGCAAAACTCAGAGACGAGGAGGGAGTAAGGGAAATAACACAGGGAACCAGTAAGGTGTGCTGCAGTGAGAGCAGCAATGCTGATAGGACTAGAGAGCAGGGTGTCCTCACTGAGATGAGCTAATCAGTGTGCTACTTCTCTTTTCACAGGCTGTGCTGTGCAGCAGAGTTGTATAACTCTTGGTATCTGTGTATTTAGCTGTTTGCCTGGTTTTAGCTTTAAAGGACATGATGTACGCCAAGACAACATCCCTCACACCATTACACAAGACTGGATGGAAACAATGTGCATGTTGGTGGCTTTGTAGCAAATATTAAGGTTAGTATCCTTGAGAGACAAGTTAAATTACCATGCCTCCTGTTGGAATGGTTAAAAGGTAGCTCGTAGATTGAAGCCAACACCAAAGATTGGTGAAAACTTGGAAACAAATGTCGACTATGCGGGCTCAGAGTGGCAAATGGACAATTCAAAAAATGTATTGTATATGCATAAAAAGCCAATATGTTTTGGGGTCATTGATAAGCTAATGTACCAAATAAAGTGGCCATTGAGTATAAAATTAAATTTTTATTTTTAGGTTTCAGATACAGCTAGCAAAACCTCAGCTATCCCACAGTGCTTACACGGAACATGGAAGCGCTCAGCATTCGACGTCCTACTACAAATAGATGACCCAGCATATACTGCACTCTGCATGGTAGTCACAACAAATCCATCAATGATGTGCACTTAAGCCTTCATGTGTGACACATGCTGTCATGCTGCACATGAGAGAATAATATAAGGACTTTATAGAGCTCATTTGAGAACAACAGGCCCTGAGCCTTCCAGGCAATTCTATAGGGAGTAACGTGATGTAAACTAAACAGAATACATCACCTGAACTACCTTACCATGCCTTGTAAAGGCCTTGTGTGCCTGTGTATAGGCCTCATGTCACAGCTGCCCCCCAGGAGACTTGTATCTGAAAATTGGTGTGGTAATATTCAAGCAGCAAGAGGGATTCAGAAAGCACAGATGCACAGAGTGAAAGAGAGGCAGAGAGATCCTTAGATTGAAGGCCCTCAGGTTCAGCTTCCTCTCCAGCAAGGAGAACACTGAGTAGCACAGAGGTGATATCATCAAATCACCATTAAATTTCATAAGACTAGCACTGAGAGGCAGCAGTGCCTTAATACAGCTATGGGGCTGTAGGTACAGGACTTCGTAGGCCCATTCACATACCAGGAAATGCACCAATATCTTTGCAGAGGAATTCAGGACAAAAGGTAGATTTTCAAGGTACTGCTTAGGCTAAATTAAACAATTCTAGATGTTTCCTGTGTCAGAGCAAATATTCATCTTTTTAGTTCAGGTCCACCCCAAGAGCAAACATCTCTGTATTAAATAAGGCTGATTTTAAAAGTACACGGTCTTCCAACACAAAGCTGGCATGCTCTCTAAGGTTTAATTTGCATAAAATAGCTACAGTGGGTTGCTTGTTAAAGTCATGGAAATGGGAAATATCTCATATTTTCTGCAGGCATGAATAGTTTTATTTATATATTTGTATTATTTGCAGCTATTCTATTAGACACACTATAGGCCATGTTTAATAAGGCAAAGTTCAATTATCATAAAATCTCTGAATGAATCTTACTGTTCTGATACTCAAATTCACACATTGTCACTGGTTTGCACAGTTATCGCAAACATCTGAATGTGTTTGTGGTCAGGCCTATATATGGTATATATATATAAAACTGGAGCCAACAGAGACAGACTCATCTCACTTCACTCATAAACTGTAAATAGGGATGATATAAAACTGTGTGATGTGCACTTTACATAATTAGGAGTCTTGCACACTCAGATGCCAAAAGGGGGCGCTTGTGATGTTAGCGTGCTCCCGCAATACTCTCAGTAAACACAAGCAATTAATAAATGTTTGCTTCAAGCTACGTTACTTGACCATAACCTGCACTGACCACAGCCAAATTGACCAGCAATGGTCCCCAGCAGCCCCTCCTTCTACAGAGAGGTCATTTGAAAATGGGTAGAATGCAGCCTGCAGCTACAAGGGTGATGTCATCCAATGCCTGAATGCAAAGCCTTGAAGTTCAAATTCCCTATATCACATTATTTGCCTGTAACATATAGTACCTGTTATACTTTATTTAAATTTCTAATTATATTTAACACAACAAAAATGTTGCCACTGCCATTTTCCTAGACTGTTTTACACATCTTATGACTTCACTTCTTAGTGAGACTGTCTTCATTTTTATTGCCAACTTGTTTCACTCTTCAGTTGCTCAGTTTGTGATCTTGAAGTTGTCACTTCTTAGAGGGTTCTCTTATTGACCTTGTTTGCTTACCTCAAACGACACTCGTAAACTTCTGCCATCGACCGCTGATTATACTCATGTCAATTCTCCTACCTTCTGCTTGGGCGCAATCTACCCCCAGTTGGTGTAGGCAATTTATGTAATATTAGAGTCATTGCAATTTATGAGGGCAGGGGATAGCTGTAGCTGAAAGAGAGCTTGGTGTCCCCAGTATCAGACTAGGGTCTTACATTTCCCTTCAAACACCATACTAGTTCTGACAGCTGGTTTCTGTTTTGCTGGGGGTCACATGCTCCCAAGATACCAGCCTGTATGATGGGTGTGCCAGGCTGATGCTTTTAGATGGCGAGTGGATTAGGTAGTTTGCGTTAAAACAGTGGTGTCCACTCCAGTCCTTGAAGGCCGCATAAAGGCCAGGATTGTTGTCTATTAAAGAAATTCTACAAATGTGTGTGGATTCTGGCTCTCGGGGACGCGAGTTGGACCCCTCTGCATTTAAAAGAGACAGGCTGCACTGGGTTCAGCAAAATGGCCAGTGTTTGCACATTTTTGGTAATTATCAACATCAAAATCCATGGCAGCTGGTCAACTCAGCCTTTCTCAACAAGGGTGCAGTGTTACCCTGAGGCGCCTTCTGGCTTTGCCAGGAATGCCTTCAAAAAAAAAAAAGGGGGGGGGGGCTCTGATGTGAAGGGGGTGCTGATTTAAAGAGAGAGGGAATCTTTTGATGTGAAAGCGGGAAATACTGATGTGAAGGGGGCTCATGATGTAAAATGGGGGACTTCACGTCGTCCACACTTTTAATGATTTATTTATTACAGGTATTTATATAGCGCCGACAAATTACGCAGCGCTGTACATAGAGCACATTTACATCAGTCCCTGCCCTCTAGGAGCTTACAATCTAAAGTCCTTTTCTCACATGCATACATATTTTGTTTTATTTTTACGTGGAGCCCCCCTTACGTGAAGCCCCCCTGTCTGGGATATGGGTTTGGTATTGATTCTGTGAAGGGGGAACCACACATTGTTTTATACATTTTTTCATTTTAGGCTGCCTCAAGAGTTTGCATACTTTTAAAAGGTGCCATGACTGAAAATAAGGTGGAGAAACACTGGGCTAACTTATCTCTAGTGATCAGACCATTTAAAAGTTGTGAATAATGTCAAAACTTGTAAACATTGGTATGGGTGAATGTGCTGTATCACTTTAATTTCTAAGGGAAACAAACTTCTTCTTACCTCTTTTTCTATTTTCAGAAGTTTCTTCACCGCCACTTCTTTTTCTTGAGGCAACCATTGTGCTCTGTATACACTGCCGAAGCTTCCCCCTCCACAGCTTTCATAAAACTGCAGGTCGTTAAACTTAATTTGGACAAACGAAGCGGTTAAGGACGACATCTCATAATGACAAAGGGTAGTTCCAAAATGCAACCTGGAATGCAAAACATAGTCATTTCAGTGTGCAAGCCAATATGAACTGTACCTTATAGAGAAAGCTAGAACATAGTTTATCTTGTGATTAGCAGATCAGGAAAAAATGAATACTGAAAACATTTTCAAAATAACTGGAACTAAAAACTCTTGTTACTCTGACTCTAGAGCTGGGATTACATATAGGTTAGTATTTTAAATGACATCATGGAAACTAGACGAGTTAATAAACTTACAGTTAATATCTCTTCAGACAAAAGTTGATTTTTTTTCAGCCCTGTTGGAGAAAATCCCATGATCTGGCTCCTATGGGACACATCACTGTATAATGTTCTCCTTGGTCCCGTACAATGGTACAATCATCTGGCTTTCCCACAGTTCTGCTATAGTTAAGTTCTGACGAATGGCCAGCACACTTTCAACTGTCAGCTTGCATAGCTGTTCTGGAATCCTAGGCACGCCATAGCCCTGCGTTGTGCTCACTTCACATTATATGAACATTCTCGCTGATTAACAGCATCATAGCTGTGACAAACAGGTCACAATCAGTGACTTACAGGGGTCCTTGGGGCCACTGAAACACCTGAGAGGCCCTGCTTGCCATTCTTAACATACCTGTACTTTTATTTACATGAGTTTACATAATAATGCTAAGCACAAGGTGCACACCCCCATGAGCTCTGATTCCCAGAATGGGCCTTACGTTTCTAGCAGATGACTGGGTCATGTTCCCGTTCTTTTTTTAGATGTAGAAAATAATGTCTGTCTGCACCATTTATCACTGTGTGACAATTTCACAACTACCATTACAACACGCACTAGAAAATTTACAATTCAGATGCACACCTAGTCTGCCCAAGTTACGCACTTGTTCCTGGACCTCCCCTACATTGTAATAGCTGATGGCACGGCCTATGTAGCAAGGAATGCTCCCATTGCATTTTAATAAGGGAACAGCACTGCTCAGCTACACAAGGGGAGGAATGACCACACAGGAACTAAAATCCTGATGATGAACCAGTACGTGCTAGAGGTGTAATGTGTATCTATCACTATAAATATGTCTTATGTTCATTACAAATAGTAATAGGTAGTAGGGTTTTTCTCCTTATTTCAGGATAGTAAATGTGGTAATGATTTGGGGAATAAGAAATAAAACCATTATTTTTGGGATTTGTGACAGGAACAGAACATTTTGGGTTTGAGCGATACAATTTAAACTTAAAGGATATCTATGGTCAAAAACTAAAAATAAATATGTTTTTCTATACTGACTTTCAAGAATCCATGGTCACTGGATGTCACGGCCCGTGTGTAGCTTGGATGGGGTGAGTAGGATCTCAGCTGCGGAAGCTAGGAATTCCTGGAGAGGACTCTATACGGCGCTCAGTCACGAACCCCAGGCGTCACTCTCAACCATATGCGGAGAGTTTGGGGTTCTTGCATCATGAGCCGTAGTAGAGAAAAAATAGGAATTGGTATGGAGACGGAGGTCTCAGACCCTGAGCCTGGATGGAATCACGAGGTGCCTCTTCAAGTGCGGATGTTTAAGCACAGCTGAACTAATGCGGTGGTTGGCAAACAGGTATAATCCCCCACAAATCCCAGTACTTATAGATAAAGGCAGTCCACAGATACACACATGAAAAGGTGCTCCTATAAGCTAAGCGGTAGGCAGTCCTATAAGCATACACTTAGTACTGAGGGGAAATATAGGTAGTCCGTATATGTGGAAACCCTCTAGGTTTTAAAGTACTTGCGCTTTCGGTGTGGATTAGTAGTAACAGGAGTCACTTCTGTCAGCAGTAGGGTAGTCCTCAGTGTAGTCCAGGCCAGCAGTCTCCTCTTAGAATGAAGTTCCAGGGTGTTTGGGGCATGAGAAACCCAATAGTGAACACCCTGCATCGTTCGGGTTCAGTTTAAATAGGCCGCGGCCGTGACGTCACTCGGCCGCGGCGCACTTACGCGTTCCAGCGTGGAGCGCACGTTACGTTCCCCGATGGAGGAGGGACCCCTGTGCGGCTTCTCCCTCTGCCGCGTTGCACGCTGGAACGCACACGTGACGCGGCACGGCCGGTAGGAACGTCACACTGGATTACTGTCTAATAAAGCCACACACATGTGTTGCCATGTGAATAAATGTTAAACCTAGAGTCATGTACCGTAGGTACTCCACAATGATCCTAGTTTCTGAAGGCATTTTTACTAGGCATCAAACTTATTTTTGGGCACATTACATGACTTCACTGGGGCCTTTTAATGTAGAATTGTAGCATGTAACCACATGGCTATACACCTAGTAAAAATTCAACCCTGTTCCTTGGTTAGGACACTAACTGCATGGAGTTTATCTGTTCTACAGGATATGCATTATTACAATATATGAGGAGAAGACAGGCTGAGTTGTTCTCGCCTGTGTAATCCTAAATGTGAGTTTAGGTGCACCCAAAACTAGGGATGCACCGATACTTTTCGAGTACCAGTGCAGATACTTGCCATTTTCATGAGAACTACCAGGGTTGCAGCGGTTGCAGCTGGGACCTGGCACTCCACCACTGTCCTGAAATCATTAGTCTGTATTGTTTTAGAAAAACTGTCACATGACAATAAACAAAAATGTATCAGTACTCATACTTGTAAGTACTCGGCAAGTACCAGTACTCGAACTGGTATCTGTGCATCCCTTTATTTATAGTTATAAAAACAAAATCGTACATTAAAACAGAGATGTACAAATCCCAGGAGCTCCGTGTGCTCCTTACAAATGACAGCTGCCTCCTAACTTTTGAATTTTTCTCTAGTGTAGTCTTGGAGCTCAAAAGTATCGGTACATGTACTTGTACCGAGTACTGTACTTGGTATCTGTGCAACCCTACCCAAAATACTAGCTTATCAACAGATAGGCTGAAGTATACTTATAGACTCCAAATCACAACTTTTATTCATTTAACTGAAGGCTGGACAAATGATTATGGAATTTAGGAGCAAGTCTTTCCAATCTAGGAACCAGTGGGATTTTTCAGGAGTCAGCTCCATTGACAACAACTACAGAAAACCTCAACGGTTGTAATTTTTAAGCATTATTGGCTACCTGGCTCCTGGACTTGCCCAGCTCCGATTTAACCCGATGTACATATTACTACAGTACTGACTCTCCTAAATGTAGAAACCCTTCTGGGATTAGAGGGCTAACATTTCAAGGCAAAATATGCCAGGCTATATTCTTTTTGTCACTATCTGATGTCCATGCTCAAACAAGGGTAAATAGTGTTTCCTTCGTTTGTGCTGTCAAAGGCACTGTGCTAAGTGTGTTTATGTAAAGGGTTGTTATTCCAGATCTCAGATCTGCAGACAGGAATAGAAGAGGCTTAAGCCTTCCCATAAGAACAATCATCAGAAGGCAGACAGTCCCAAAAGCATCGTACCTTCACTAAACTGATATTGTTCAGCTATATTAGCACTGCATACAACATAACAATTTAGTGTGAATGCAACATTGAAAAAAATATTGAACTGTAGCAAAAGTAAAAGGAAGCATTACAATAGTCTATTTTCCAGTGCGGTGATCTTTGGTTTGTTTTTTTCTGTTACAATTTTAGCGAGTACCATAACCAGTACAAATTATTGATTGGGATATAGTAGCTCAAAAACAGGTTAGGTACCTTACTGTCATTTTACAATTTACCACTTGTCCACTTTTTTAAAAGTGGGCACATCTAGTAGCTATACAACACATAAAAGATCTGCAATACCAATAGAAAAATGCTATTATGGTTCCTGAGCTCATAAAAACAAAGGGGATGGTTGGATGATTTCCTAAATGTTGATACACATAGTGGTATCAGAAAAGGTCAACATTTAGCTTGAGGTTGAGTAACCCTTCAAAGAAACATATTCAACTGGAAACCGATGGCTAGAATAAAGTATAACTGGTGCTACCAAAGAGGAGGAGTAGCGAGGCATCTGAAGCATGGATGCATTTTCAGTTGAAATGTAAATTCCTTTATAGGAGACCTCTACTAAATACTATTCCTTAGTAAAACTTGCAAACGCATTGCAATTTGTTATATGGTAGAAATGAGACAATTAGCTGGGTAGATATCTTTGCCATAGCGTGTATAAAATACAGCGTGTTTACCATTTAAAACATACACCACACTAGCCAACCAATCACAGCTTGACATGAACCATCTGGCTCAACCCTTTCTATAACATTGTTGGCTGTCTTACACACTGATCACTTGCTGCATATACAGGTGAAACTCGAATAATTAGAATATCGTGCAAAAGTAATTGCAGTAAGTGCTGCAAAAGGGGCCCAAACCAAGTACTGAGTACATATGCATGCTTGTACTTTTCAGAGGTCCGATATTGTTCTATGTACAATCCTTGTTTTATTGATTGCATGTAATAATCTACTTTTTTGAGGTTGTGGATTTGGGGTTCTTGGGGTTTTCATGAGCTGTAAGCCATAATCATCACAATGATGACAAATCACGGTTTGAACTATCTCACTTTGCATGTAATGAGTCTATCTCATATATTAGTTTCACCTTTTAAGTTGCATTAGTGAAATAAATTAACTTTGCACGATATTCTAATTATTCCAGTTTCACCTGTACATTATAGGCTCATGGCTGAGACATATTGCATTATTAAATTAAGTTACTGAAATACTTATAAGAATCCCAGATTCTCAGACTAGTTATCATGGGCGGGCTCACCGGCTTTGGCCTATTAGCTGGGAGTAAACATAACAGGGTCGAAATCGGGATAGGAGAACCGTTAGTGATTTAAGGAATACCCACGGAAGGGTTTCAGCAGATGTGTGGAGGATGAAAAGTTGACCTCTGAGGAGGTCTGAGGAGCAGCATGACTTTATGGAGATGTGGAACAGCTAAACTACCACATTTTTGTGGACAAACATAGTGAAGCAGGGAATTTGTGGTCTTCTGTTGTGCCTAATAAACAACTGATGTCTATTTTGTGGACCCTGGAG